AAGGACCTATCGTTAACCAATGTAAAAGTGATCACGAGGAGGTAGCTAGTGGGAAAGTTTGGAAAATCAGGCGAAGTTGTTCTAAGTGAGTATAGCGTGCTCGAAGATATAAATGCAATTATGGGGGCTGGCGGTCACGTAACCATGGAGACGGATAATCAAAACTTTAACAGAAATTTGGCATTATAGCTAAAATGTACTAGAAAGTCACTCGAAATGCAACAGGCAACCACAGATAGACGTCGACAGTTTGCTCAGGTTACATGAGTTTAATCAAAGAGACGACCCGTGGCGGCAATGCCAAATGTATGCAGGCATGGGAATCAGAGCCTGGGCGCTCTGCACGGTGAAGCGACAGTATACGTGATTCTAAAGGCTTGAAAAATAGCGCTTCGAGTAAAACGCACACTGGAATTGTAACCGAATGAAATCGGTCAACCAGGGAGATAAGAAACGGATCTATGGGACCATGAGGAAGATCTGAATAGGACACCCCAGTCGGATCAGCTAATCGAAAGAGTTAAGTTTAACAGCAGCAGTGATGCCGCCATACAAACCCGCCAAAAAAGACACCTTTTGATGAATGAAATGTTAACAAGTTAGCAGTTGTGATAGGACGGGAGTGTGATAAGGGGGTAAGGAGTAGATAGATAGGCTAGGACATTTTATTGTAGGAAATTTTATATAAAATTTCGTGTAGTTTTTCACGATTAATCGGTTTTACCTGGAGGAGAGTTGGGCGAGGCCCACTGTACCCTACTGGCCTCCAGTTGGTCTACGTTCCTTTGCAACTCGTCAATGGCCCGCTGGCGACGCTGAAGCTTGCGCAAACTCGCCAAAAGTCCAGTATGAGTGGCCCAGGCAGTGAGAAAAAAGCATTCAGTAGAGAAGGATACCGAAGCGGAGGAAGATGCCATCGGGGGAGGTGAGTCTCTAGCGAAGCATGCCATAGATGTGGAAGCAATGCCGGGAGAGTCGGAATCTATTCAGGGCGAAAGGAAAGACATTATGTGCTAATAAATGTATCAGTTCTGTACCTACAGTTATCCTAAGAAAAGGATTCATTACTAATAAGTCCAAGAATTAGTAAGCAAAGGCATAAACTTTTCCGTTTGTTATTTGCTATTCAATCAATTGAAACACCAAAATATTAAGAAAAAAATTAGTTGTTAATTTAGAGAGCAGATACATTAATTGATATTTCAAGTCTAAATTTCTTTGAGACAAAGTTGGAGAGTAACACAAATATTTGAAAAAGATACGATCCTCAAGTGGGAAATGAAATCTACCCAATTATCGTGGCTAAATGGTACACGAGAATGATACAA